GGGGCTTAAACCCCAATCTCCTGTGGCCTTGAATGGCAGAATTTTCTGCTTTTCTGTTCAAATGTCTAGTGCCTGGAGGGTTATCATTCTAAAATTTAAATCATATGTACCTTCCGCTTTCCCCTCCTCTCCCTCCACTCCATCTACTACCACTGTCTCGGAGTTGAGGATATTTCTCACGTCTACATTGTCCTTCATAGCTTCCACATTGGTGACTGAACATTTAATTCCATATCCTGACACTGCTTCAAAGTCACTGGTGTTACCCACATTCTCACATTTTAATGCCTAACAAAAAATAATAAAAAGTGAAAATTATTGAAAAATTGACTGGACGGACTAGGAAAAAAAGGCTGTGGCCATACTGAATTTTTACTATCTCCACCACAAAGAATTCATTCATCAGAAAACAGTTTCACATCACAAACCATTAAATCTCCTCTTCAGAAGTACTGTTTCAGTTGTACATCTTACAAGCTTTACAGCCTAACTCACCTCTTTCACGTATCTGACAATGGCGTCTCCAATGGGGTGCTCACTGCTGCCCTCTGCTGTCCCAGTGACTGCCAGTAGTTCCTTCAGTGACAGCACCTCTTGTCTGACAAACATGACAATTCTGGTCACCTCGGGGACACCATGGGTGATGGTACCAGTCTTGTCAAATACTATACTCTTCACCTATTGGATATACACATTCATTGTTTTTATTTATTTATTATAAATTTTATTTTTGTTCTTTAAATATTGGAGGGAATAATGACACAAAGACTTAATCAAAATAAATAAATAAATAAATTATGGCCACCAAAACTATAATCTAGTTAATGTTGGTGCTATTATTTATTATCCATTATATTTTTGTACTTGAGATATTGCAGGGAATGATGACACAAAAACATTAAGCACCATGAATAAATAAATAATTTTTTCAATAAAAAAATGATGGCCACTAAATCTTTAATCTGGTTATAACTGTATACCTTGTGTGCCACCTCCAATGGCTGCCCCCCTTTCAGCAGTATCCCACTGGTGGCCCCTATTCCTGTCCCTACCATCACAGCTGTGGGGGTCGCCAGTCCCAGAGCACAGGGACATGCTACAGCCAACACAGTTATGGCGTACTGAAAGGCATTGGCCAAGATGACTTCATCCCTGCTGCGGTCACTACCCTCCTGAAATAAGATTGTAAGCTTATGAAATATCAATGTCATCATTATTATTATTATTATTATCAACATCATTTTTACTATAATAGCTATCATAATACATATTATCATCATTATTAACATCATTTTTACTGTTGCTATTATAATGCATCTTTCTTACAAACATTGCATATATTCAGTAACATACAATAGAATGCAGTGAAATTCTGTCTTCATTACTATAATCAAAATTAATCAGTATTTTTCTTATTATCACCAACAAACATATTTTCCTTTAAAAGCCCATATCTTCATTAACATACCACAAAATCTTTATGTATGAGGTCAAAGTTCACATATCCCACAATGATCCAGGAGACAAGGGTAATGGTGGATGCAGTGATCACTCCTGGAATGAACACACTGGATATCTTGTCTGCAAGAGCTTGAAGGGGGGCCTAGGAGAGAAAAGAAGTTGTAACAAGAGCGTGCTTCAAGACACAGACCTCTGTCAATGAAAAAGACAATTATTATAGCTACCTGGATAGCCTCATTCCCTGAATCGATGAAGATGTCCTGCCAGACATCGAAATATTGGAGGTAAAAACTATCTCAATATTAGCTGCTGACTGAAGAAAAATTACATCATTCTTATAACATAACACAGCTGATGAAATTCTTCTCTGACTTACAAAATCTGCAAAACAGATTTTCTAGATGGTTTCAAAATTTCAATTATCATTCTCCTTATGTTAAGCAATATACTGGTACTTTGATAAGTCAAAAACTTCCTCAAAACTTTTCTTTCTTTCAAATATGTTAACTTACTTTAGATGTCTGTGCCTCCTCCACCAGTTTAATAATCTGTGCCAGGGCGCTGTCACTGCCTACGTGGATAGCTTCCATTATAAGAGCGCCATTTTGATTAATTGAGCCACCAATCACATTGCAACCTGAAAGAAAAAATGTTACAAAAGACATATTGATGACTTCTACTTTAATCTATATTTACTTGTAAATCTATCTAGAGACACTGTTGCATCACTGTTTCTAAAATTATTAAAATTAAAATTCTCTATCAAGACATTTATTGGAAGTCTAACGTATTTTTTATATTCAGTCAGGTATAGAACAGTATTATTTTTCATCACCTAAATAAATCATCTACAGAATCTGCAGTAAAATTCATATCTTGTAATCACAGGTTGATTATGTTTCAACAAATAAAGGCTAAATGGCATCAATATTGATAAACTAATAAAAACCAAAAGCTTGGTCACTTTTATCTGAAAACTGATGCCATTTTTATGTTAAAGTGAACCTAGAATCATATGGAAATTAAGCTCTTTATCATCACTGACAAGTTGTAAGCCAACTTTACCTGGTTCTTTAAAAACAGGCATAGACTCCCCAGTGATCAATGACTCATCACAACTTGACTTGCCATCCACAACTCGACCATCAACTGGAATTTTCTCACCAGGTGTCACTCGTAGCAAGTCTCCGCGCTGTACTAGCTCCACAGGTATTTTCTCTTCATTCATGATGTTTCCGTCTTTGTCGCGTTCCACGAGAGTTGCCTCTGCGGGTTGCAAGGACATAAGTTTGGTCATGGCCTCCGAGGTCTTGCCCTGTTATCAAAGTGAGGATAATACTCAATTTGAATTTTCCATGTAAAGAAAATAATTTTCTCCTACATACAAACTATTGCTCAACCCAACAAGTTTTTGGTATTTAGTATTTTTTATAATCATGGTATTTATTATATTTTTATAATCACAGCACATGACTATACCATGATTCTATCAAACTGCACCAATGGATTAATCAGAGGATATGACTAAATAATAATCAAACACCCTTTTTATTAAATAAAGAAAAAAACTAGCTCAGAGAAGTATTAAGCCCACTGCTGTGCTTTTTCTTCTTTTTTGCCCCTAAAATACAATTTGGGGCCAAGTTCCCTACCTCCACAATATGCGACAGCCATCGCCCTAATGCAATAAATGTAACCAACATGGGCGTGGTTTCAAAGAATGTCATAGGGCTGGCGCGGGTCTGTTGTATCATGGCTGCAGTTATTACTCCAAGGGAGTAACAATAGGCTATGGTAGTTGCCATGACAATAAGGACGTCCATGTTGGTGGTGCGGTGGCGAAGTGCTTTGAAGGCTTGAATGTAGAAGTATCTTTCTCCAATAAACTGAAATGCAATATAACAAAATTACAGCTTTTTGTCAAGTAATTTCCTGTTTTCTAAGCAAATTAATGCTTATTTGTGATTGGAACTAGGATGTTGAAGCACAAATTGTAAATCATTCCAAAAATGTACAAGAATACAAAAATATTTGCAAAACTTATTATGCAATGGTACACATGAAGAATACAAAATATTGCATACATACAAGTAAGACTTCCTAAAACATCAACTCTGGGATGAGAATTACTAATAACTAAAAGAAGAAAACCCCTCCTGTCTTAATTTCAACTAAAAATTATTAACAAACTGAAATCTAGATGCTGTCTAAATCTTGATTTATTTCAATGAATAAAGGTGAAAAAAGCATTTTGGACTCTACATAAAATTATACTGAATTTTCCTTTTCAAAACAATGCTCACCTGTACTGGTGTTGCAAATATAAAGAAAAGCAAATTGTCCAAGCTTAAGCCAGGTATGATCCGGATGTCGTGGGGGTTGATCAGGCCATCTGTTGCATTCCCAGCTCCATGGGGTGGAGTAGGCCACCCCCCAGGGATCTTGGTGATTGAGAAGAAAATGACCGTCAAAAGGGTTGGGACGCCAAAGATCAGAGATATGAAGAATGAGTTTCGCCAGCTAGACAAAAAAATAAATAATAATAAAAGTAAAAAATCAATAATGTTAAAAAAATGTTTAAAATAGCTCTTAAATTAGATTGCTTACAATGTAAAATGGGAGATATTTATTACTGATGTTTAGTTTGTATCAGTGTTAAAAATTTTTTTACCAAATATCCTCTTCCTGCACAAAGGAGTATGTTTACAAAGATTCTTGAAAAACATCCATCCCAGTGAAAGGAGTTTTGTAATGAAAAATAGCTGAATTATAATTATCACGCTGTTTAAAATTTTTCTTTCAATATTTCTATTCTAGAAATAAAGTGCTTGCCTTTTCTTTTTCCTTTCCAATTCCAGTTGGGCTAAATTCTTACTGTCACTGGTGAAGATTTTGGCCTCATAACCCAGTGACTGAAAACATGCATAGAACACAAGATAAAGGATACCTGTAATAAACTTGTAAACTTTCTAGATGTTTCTGCTCCACTAGTTTGATTTTTTAAAAGAAAATGTATTAATAGGCAAATAACTTGAGATGAACTGTAAACCTGCTATCAGAAAAATAAGGATTTTCAACTGCCCATGTATTAGCTAACAGTGATAATGAATAAATATCATAACATAAATAAAGCTGACCAATCACAACTATTAGAGTAATATAATAATCAACATAAATAATTCATACCAAATACTGGTTATTTTACCTCAATATGCCGGATAATATCTCTTGCTCCAGTGATTTCTGGGTCAAATTCAAATTTCCCCCTGGAGGTTGTCAAGGCAACGGAGGCAGATTTAACACCCCGTTTCTTCATAACATGGTCCTCGATCTTGCCAACACACGAAGCACAAGTCATTCCAGAAATCTGAGAAATTTAAGATATGATATAAGAATATATGGATGATCCTGAAATACATACAGAACAAATAACGAATAACAAAAATATGATCAATAATTTGTTGTTTACAACTAAGGATGAAAAATTTATTTGAAAAGAACAGAAAACCAATTTAAACTTCAATTCATTTGGTTATTAGAAACGTGTTTCAATTAGTTTTAGCCAAAAATAAGACAAAACCCACATTTTTTTCTGGTTTTAAATTTACATTACAGCAAAAAATTTAGCCACTCTCACATTGGAGATGGAGACTGCTGAACATAACTGAAGATGGTAAAAAATAGAAATTAAAGGCTAAAATAAAGACTTAAAGATAATTTTGTCTGGGTCAACAGTTCATAATACAGCATAGCTTCATGGCAAAAGAAAAATATCTCAATGTCAAGTAAAATTCACTTTAAATTTTTTAAATAAAGGCAAAATGTGCACTGTACACAAGTAAAGAAAAAACCAGGACAATTAACTTACAAACAGTTCTACGTGTCCCCCAGTGGCTTCTTGTAGGACTGTGGTTTCATATCCTAGGTCAGTGATTTTCTTGGCTATTGTCTCTGGATTCAGCAACTCTGGGTCGTAGGTCACTTCTGCTTTCTGAGCCAGTAAGGCAACCAGGATGGTTTCAATGCCTGCAAGTTAAAAAATATCAAACTGCAAAATACTACATGGCCACTTTTGTTTAAATTATATGAAGATACCAGAAAAAGCACAATACGAGTTGCACTGAACTCTGGGGCATATTTCACCTCAAAATTTATCTGAAAGTTGTCATTCTATCACACATTGTTAAATATACAGATATATAAATGAAAAGCGTAAGTGTAATTCTAAGTAGGTATTAAGACATGTAATAATTTGAAAATATTTCTAAAAATGCAAAACATAAATCACTACATATACACTGGCAGATCCTGGTCATTTTTGACACCTTCACCCCACACCCTATTCTGAATTATCCATTCTGTACATATAAAAGAGAGGGGGCAATGTCCTTCAAAACACATGCATGATCAAATAAACAACACTTTCAAGGATTCTGACATACCTTCTACCTTGGCCATAGTACGTTCAATGTTAGCCACGCAGGAAGCACACGTCATTCCTCTCACATTAAACAAGGCTTTATGGTACTTTCCATCTTCACGAGGTTGTGTTGGCTGGCGACGACGGACACTGCCCTTGCTGCGCCGCAGGCTTGCATTACGTTCAATGACTTTTGGTTTGGCAACAACACTGGCATTTTTCTTTACATCTGATGGATAAAGAAATGAATATTGCACTGATTTTATAAAAAAGTTAACAAATTAACCCTTAAAATGTAAAAACGTCTGTTGTTAAGATGACAACATTCATAATACACGGAAGAAAACATTTTAAAGGACATTTAAAATAACAATACTAAATCAACTAAAAACTAAACACAAAGTAGCAGTTCTTTTTCTTGTAAAAATTTTTCTAAATTTAAACTGAAGTCACATGTATGTGGTTTAGGAAATAATATTTTCTGTTTGAAATATTTAAAAAATAATCATGAATTAGGCAATGAAATATAATTTTTTGTCTAAAAAAATATGTGAGATGTCCCTGTGGTGATTCCCTTAATTGTTACCTTTAATGGATGCACCAAATCCAAGCCCTTGAATTTTAGCACATAGCTGATGTGCACTTATGTGTGCGGGATTGTGCTGCACAGTAGCCTCTTTTTCAACCAGTGACACTTTCACACTTCCCACTCCAATGACATCCCCCAGCTCACCCTCGATCTTCTTCACGCATGACTGACAGGTCATTCCAGATATGACAATATTGGAAGTGATTAATTCGGAAGACTTCTGGATCTGACCTTCATCACACTTGCTGTCGGCAACCACCTCTGCATCGTAACCCATGTCAGAAATATCCTCAGCAAGCTGCCTTGGGTCTGTGGTCTCTGGATCAAAGGTAATGTCAGCTCTCCCTTTTTCCAAGGAAACTTTAATCTTCACGACGCCTGGCTTCTCAGAGATCACTTGCTCGATGAGGTCAACGCAAGAATGACACGTCATACCCTTCACGTCTACGGTGCATGATTTCTCTGAACAGGTTGGGACCGGCTCCTCTTGGGGCACCTGCGTCAACAATCTTGCCTCGTAACCCATATCATCAATGTATCCAGCCAACAAGCTGGCAGTGGTCACTTTTGGATCATACTGGATCACCCCTTGACCTTTCTCCAGGCTGACCACGATGGACTTCACCCCACTCTTTTCTCCGATGGTGTCTTCAATGAGTTTTACACACGAATTACAAGTCATCCCTTGTATATCTATGGTGGCAGAGGAGAGAGGTTGGGGAGGCTTTCTCAAAGAAGCTGGGAAACCTAACGCTCCAATGGCATCTCGCAGGTTGACAGTGCTTATCTGGGTTGGATTATGCCTGCAGTCAAAAGTGAAGTTGTCATAATTTTGTTTATTTGTATAATAACTAAAAAAGAAAGGTTTTTAATTGTACTTGAATCAAAGTTATCAAGCCTTGGTTGCAGAAAATATGCATTAACTGCACATATGGATAATTTGAACTGTCAATGAAATAATCCAATTATAACTGACATTAATTTTCTACCTGGTGCACTGAAACAGGAAATACACAGCAAATGAAAACAAGTCAGAAATTTATCATAATTACATTCAGACGAATATGGTTCAGGTCATTTTACCTGACAGTAACACTGCCCATGGCCAGAGACACCTTGACAGCGGTCACTCCATCCAGCCTGCCCAGGGCATCTTCAATCTTCTTCACACAGTCTCCACAGGTCATGTGGTCAGCAAACAGAGTGACCTCCTGGACAGGGGTCTGGGTGGCTTTGGGATGTACCTGGAGGTGTACAACAGGTGCTTTATCAATACAAAGGGACATTTTAGATTAAACAGGACAGGCTGTTAAATGTAAGGTATTCAGTTATAAAAATTGTCTGTTAATTGGCTTAATATTTAATTGCAAATTTTTAGCTGATATCATAATTTGTATATATTAATATCATAAAGATAGGCAGTTAAGTGTAAGGTATCCAGTAATAAAACTTGTCTTTTAATTGGCATAATTTTATATGCAAATTTTTGTTGAAAGCATAATTTGTAGTGTTTAAAAATGAAAAATTGCTGAGCCTCATTAAATAACCTTTTATTTACCAAATTTATAATACTTCTTGTAGCTGGTAAGATATTTATATAATTATAAAATTCATTGTATCCAAGGCATACATCATCCCATACATCATTTATAATTATAATATCAGTCGAGAAATCTTAGTTACATACTTTAAATGCAGTGTCCAATCCCTGGATATCTGACAGGATCTGATCCACTGAGATGGTCCCAGGGTCAAAAGTGACCACTCCTTCCTTGTCCTCCAGGGACACCTAAATTGAGAAATTCAATTAAAAATATTTAAAGAACATAATAAAAAATTTAACTGCAAATGAATGACCTAAACATCACTTGAACAGC